CACAATGGAAAGATTGTACAATGAAAAGATTGACCTGAAGTTAAGTAGTTAAATTGATCTGAGTTATTGTATTGCAGTGCGGAGTCAAACAGGTACCAAATCCGCCCTGCCTACCTGTTATAGTTCCGCTGTCTCTTTTGAATATTAAAATCTTACTTAAAATGAAAACGATGTTAAGACAACTATAAATTCTAAAATTTTATGATAGCTTAAATGAAGATCTAGTATGCAGTTTTGAAGAAATCTATAATCATAAATTTTACTCATTTTAAATGTTTGTTTAAAGAATCAATATAATAAAAAATTTATAACTTTATTTTAAAGCTATAAATAATCATTAGTTATCACTATACTGCTTAGTTCTTTATATTTTATTTGTAACTACAATATTAACTGAAAGAAGTATCGCTTATGTGATAACTGCTCTCCTTTTTTTACGTTATGATTTTATTTAAGCTGTAATTGAAGAAAATTAATAAGTTTATTCCAATAAATATTTCTTTTAGTATGAAGCAAGAAAGGCACAAGAACTTGAGTATCGCGTAAACAGGATAAAAACATTCCAAGCGCCTTACCAGCAGGTAACAAATGAAAAATTGAAAGTACCTCATGTCAGCAGTGCTAATATTCTGTCGCAAGATGTACAAATGGAAGAAGCCACGGCTTTTCGAACCAGCACTATTAATCAAGAGGATTGTCAGATGGATGTTGAATACGCTGTCGATAAAGTAAGTACATGAATTTATAATTGTTATTTTATATTTTACATATTTACAAAACAATACATTCATTTATCGATGAAAAATTTGTAGGGTATCACCAGCACCCATTTTACAACTGGCACGAAGTTGAATAATTCTGACGTCAATTTTAGCATACTGGATATAGTGCGAATTCTGAAAAAGACTCATCTGAGACAAAATTGGGCTTGGGGGGAAATAGATAACAACATTTTTTTTAAACTTACTGATTTCAGCCTACTCGTAGTAAGGTGTTGTTTACAAGTACATTCAAATATGAATGTAACAATTGAGTTTTTTTAACATTTTCAAAATTTTAAAATATTATATTATATAAAATTATTAATTTGTTATCTTACTTTTCCAGATTTTGCTGTCTGACAAACAAAAGGTGGCTAATTTTTCAGGAGTAACCGTAATTACATCATTCGAAGATATAATTCAGATTTTACAATATTTAGAAGATCAATATTTATGTCTGGGCACTGGTATTTCGCAAAAAAGGTATTGTTATGAAAAAATAAACTATCAACTCTCGGTAAATGTAAAAACATTGGACAATAAAGAATATTTCTTTTTCTTTTTCCCAGCCGAGCTGACACTTGTTCCATTAGTGAGAACATCGGTGGAAGGTGTATATTTTGTTTGAGAGAAAAAATTAAATTAGAAAACAGTAAATTATCTATTGAGAAGAAATATAGTGATTTATTAAAAAGCAACAGATCCTTGCAGAAAAAGTACGATTATTGCAGTGAATAGGTAATGCTTCACTTAATTAATTTTTGCAAGTATTTAAATATGTCTATTTTAATTTACATATTTTATTTTGGTTTTTAGCTTGACGAGGCGAGAAATTGAATCACCCAGCTGGAAGAAGAAATTATCAACTTGCAAAAAAACTGGGAGTACAACATTTTGTACCAATTGCCCGATATCCAACAAGAAATTGTTGGCATGTTTATAAAATTTGCCGGCTTGGACAAAAATCGAATCCGTTATTCTCGCGAATGGATGTGTGATTGTTTTATCATGCATACGAAAAGTAGTGCTTTGTACGAATTTATGAGAGAACGAGGCATTCTCCCTCTGCCTAGTCCAAATACTCTCAAAACTCAAACAGGTGCCATTAATACAAACTATGGTTTTCACGATGCAGTTTTTGAGAGTTTAAAAGTGCAGGCAGATGTTTTACAAAGCCATGGAAAAAGAGGTAATGTATAATGTTTGTGAAACGTGTTTGATGTGTCATATCAATGTATATATCCTATATACCTTTTTATATATACCTATATATATCCTATGTACCTTTTTATATATACCTATATATATCCTATATACCTTTTTATATATACCTATATATATCCTATATACCTTTTTATATATACTTTTTTATATTATATTAACATATTCATTTTGTTTTTAGGGATTATATTGGCAGACGAAATTGCTCTTAGTGAGATTATTGCCCTTGATAAAAATTGGCTAGTACAAGGATATACCGACTACGGACTCTGGACACCTCATAGCTTACATAACACGCAAGCTAACAAAGCCCTTTGTTTAGTGTTCAAACCCTTTATTGGATCGTGGATGCAGATAAGAGAAATTGGAATTTTCATAAACGTTTTATCTGTTTCGTCTGCAATTCAAATAAATGAAATATTATGTTACAGCCAATAGGAGCTTTTGCCGCAAGCAACACTACTAGTGACATATTAGATAATTTACTAGTAGAGGCTATAGCACATGTCGAGAAAACAGGTTTGAAAGTAAATGCGATTGGAATGGATGCTGCAAACGTTAATCGAAAAATATGGACCAGTAAGGGTATTGACGAAAATATTGTAAGCTGCAGACATCCCATAAATCACATACGAAGACTATGGTTTATTTCAGATCCATCGCATCTATGGAAAAACTTACGCAATCTTATTATGAAGCTGCTTGAGTTTTGAGTAAATATTTTAAAATTTATTTTATTTTTATCATAATATTTATAACAACGTTATATTTGTTTTTCTTTTAATATCTGAACTAATTATAATGAAAGCGTATGTATTTTTTGAGACTCCTTATGGCTGGGTAAAAAAAGCTCATTGGCAAACTGTTTTAGACCATGAATCATTATATCTTCATTATAACTTGAAAATTGCCTACTTTTCGACGCCAGATCATCTTAATCCTCAAGGTTATATGACGATGAACGTTCATGAGAACGACGTTCAGCCATGAGGCTATGCAGGTAAAAACTGATTATAATTATTTACGCTAAATTAATTTTGTTATAGTTCTTTTTTAAATAAAAATAATAATAAACGATAAATGTGACAGATCTTTTCCGAAAGAGTTTCTGTGGCTATGGAAATGTACAAAGATGATGAGAAATTGAAAGATGCAGGACCGACCATTGCTTTTATTAAAAAAGTAAAAGCTGTCATAGATGCAATGAGATCCCGTACATCAGGTGATGCTTTGCGCATAAATGAAAATTGCCCCAGACGGCAGGTAAAAATATATATAATACAAATATAATAAAAAAAATTTAATATTCACTTTTTATTTGTTTTACATTAATTCGACACTTATTTATGTTTATTTGTAGGCAATTGTGAGCTTTATTACATATCTACAGGAGTGGAAGTCAAAAGCTCACGAGATAATTTCAAATTTCCTTTAACTAACAACACATATACAGGATTCATTGTCACTCTCAATGCAACCTTGGAATTACTTGACTACTTGAACCAAGAAGAAGGATATGAGTATTTGATGACCAATTGTTTATGCTCTGATCCAATCGAGGTAAGGAAAATTACTAAGAAAATACGTAGCCAACGAGATTAGCCGAATGCTTCCTTGAAGATTTCTCCTATAGTATATAATAGGGTCCTATAATTGGGTCAGTTTTTTTTATATATAATACTAAAAAAAAGAATAAACCTGGTGCCAGAATAGTAAAAACCGGCCAGCATGAAAAAACGAGTAAAAGTGCTTATAATTACCAAAACAATACAAAGCAAATTAAATTAATATTTTTTTCTAAACGTTCTAAAAAACTTACGGCCAAAAATGATAATTTTTGAGAAAACATGGAATCAAGGCTAACAACAACTATATCATTTTTACAGAGATTTTTTGGCATCTAAGAATAGCAGCTGATTCTAACGATAATTCAGATCCTGTTTTATTCACTTGCCTGTTCAAGATATTTTGCACCTATGGGTTAATCAAATCTCCGAAAGGTAGCAACGTCGTCAAAGGAGACGTCTTAAAAGTGTTAGTCAAGACCAAAACATCCACAGCTTTTCAATTAAGCAATAAAATGCAGTTGCTTAACTCAATCTCAGTGTGGGTTTACGACTACGACTCATCAGGTAGGTCAATAACCAAGGATTTAGACCATATTTACGGGGTTGTTGATACCGACGAAAGGGTAATTTCCGATGTGCCGGGGCGGGTTACCCGTGAAATTATTAAAAAAAATCCTTGTGAGAGCTGCAATTTGTAATTAGAGGCATTTTCGAGTACATCGCCACGTCATCAACTCACTAACGCTCGAGAAATTTTTGGCGGTTTGGTTCGGGCAAGCGACAATGTATTTGAATTGATAAAAATGCTGGAAAACGCTATTACTTTTATACTCATTCAAAACAATAGGATGCATAAAAATGTAATGTCTCTGATTGTGCAGAATATACAGGCAGTAAACTTGTTAATTCTTGTAGGCTGCGAATCACACGCAAAAGATTGAACCTTTAAGTTTATTATTTATTATTTAGAAAGGCGGGCAAAGATGGCGTGCAAACGGCACAATGTCATTCACAGCGAGCATAAAAAAAAGTAAAGCTTTAAGATATCAATCATTTTTTTGCCAGGGTCGTTTCGATGGTTTTTTTAACCTCGGATCTTATGATCTCACGAAAGCCTTATTCTCGTAAACGAAGCAATATTATTTTTATTAATAATAATTAATGAAGCCGTGATTAAAGAAGTGTGATTATATATTCTTAATGCACAAATTACGCGAAATACGCCTTAATTAGAGAATTCCAATAAATTTCCTAGAAAATCGTAATCGATATTTCCTTGCTTTTGATTACTTATTTTAAAGGTAAATGAGCTATGCACAAACTATTTTTTTACCAATTAGTAACGCGCAGCTCTAAAACAAATTAACGGGTAGCAGTTCATACTAATAAATAATATTATTAAACTGATATTCAGTTCATAGAGTTCTCAAAACTCGTAGGCATGGAGACTACATGCTTGTAGGGGTACGAACGTATTTGATTGGCAACGTGGTAAAAAATCCGTTAATTTCGTCGAAATATTTTTATTCTCATTTTCTTTTCTATAAAAAATGGCACTTTTTGCTAGAGATAATTCCAAAAAAAAAATAGAATTTCCATCTCGTGGAATTAATGCAATTTTATTAGGACCACCTGGGAGCGGCAAAGGAACTCAAGTAATTTTCATATCATTATTTAATTTTTGTAACAACTGCTAATAGTTTTATTTATAGAATTCTTTAGCGAAATTTTACTAATTAAAGAAAAATTAATAAATCTCATAATTAAAATATTTTTTGTGTTTGTCTGTTATACTATTGTTTTATATTAATATTTGGGTGTTCATTATCATATAAAGTAATTGTATATATTTCAGGCACCTATGTTAAAGGAGAGGTATTGTGTTTGTCACCTTTCAACTGGTGATATGTTGAGAGAAGAAATTCATTCTGGCTCTGATCTTGGAAAACAAGTTAAAAAAGTAATGGATAATGGTTTATTAGTAAGTGATAACCTTGTAGTTGATATGATAGATAAAAATCTTGACAAACCAGAATGTAAGCGTGGATTTCTTTTGGATGGTTTTCCAAGAACAGTTCCACAGGCAGAGAAAGTACTAGAGTAATTTTATATTGTAATATATACCTCATACAAATTTGTAATAATAGATAACACATAATACTGTTTATTTATAGTTAGATGAAATGCTTGAAAAGAGAAAAACAAAGTTAGATGCTGTTATTGAATTTGGAATAGATGATGATATTTTAGTTAAAAGAATTACTGGCCGTTTAATTCATCCAGCAAGTGGAAGATCTTACCACGAAGAATTTGCTCCTCCGAAATTCCCAATGAAAGATGATGTAAGCAGTGATGTAATGATTAAAATATCTTTCATTTTTAATATTATATAATATTATAATATTAAATTTAATTTTTATAGGTCACTGGGGAACCATTAATTAAAAGATCTGATGACAATGCAGAAGCATTGAAAAAACGCCTTGCAGCGTATCATACACAAACTCAACCACTTGTTGATTACTATGCTCTTCGTGGTATACATAACTTTATCAATGCTGCTAAAGCTAGCAAACAGGTTTTTGAAGATATTGATTCTATTTTTATGAAATCAATTCATCAAGACCAGAAAAAAACTTTGTTCAGCAACTTTTTTTAAGTATCACTTTATCTGAATCTTCATTAGTAATTTAAAATAGGAGATCAATTATCTTGAAATCAATGACTTTTTATTTCATTTATGTAATGGTTTTGCTGGAAGTTTAAATTATTAATTTGAAGCAAGTGATTATAATTTTTGCCAGATATGTAATCGAAATGTTATTTGAAAATGAGATTTAAAAGGTTAATTAATGTGTAATTTTAATTTCACCAAAATGCATTCAACATATAATGGTGTTGATTTCACATAATATTGTATTGTCATTTCTAATTTTTATTAACATATTATGACTTAAATTTTCATGAAATTGTGTTTAAGCATGATTTGGATCTCATTAAATGAAATAATAAAAATATTTAAATATAATTTAAATATTTAATTTTTAAAAGTCAGATTTAGGTTGTAGAATTTAAATTATTTTAATGCTCAAGAATATCTTCTATATCTTGTATACATTTGTCATGGATATTGATTTTGCAAATTTATACAGGGTGTTCCAGACCACCCGTACACCCCCTCTAGAATCCAAAATAATGGATTAATCAAAAACTGCTTCAGACAAAAGTTGCTGGGCTTCGAAGGGGACATATCCGTACGACCTTGGCTTTGACCTTGGAGGTCATGTTCAAGGTCATTTCAAGGTCAACTTTGTTTTTTTAAATAGGAACCCCCATTTTTGACCCCGGATTCGGAAAGAGCGGGAAATTTTACGTCCAAAACGGTATTTTTAAATTTTTTTTCATGGCCTTGAGAAGGTCGATTTAAGGTCAAATGCTTGAAAAACTGCCTAAAAGCGTTTTTTTAATTTTTAAGATATCGAAAAATGACCTCTACAAAATTTGTTCAGAATAGAATGGGCCACCCAATGCACCAAAAACCTTTGACCTTTAACCTCATTTTGAAGGTCATTTCAAGGTCGAAGTGTTTTTTGTAATGGAAACCCCTCTTTTTGACCCCGGATTCGCACATAGCGCGAAACTCAACACAATACCTTATCCAAACGTCGGATTTCGCGCTATGTGCGAATCCGGGGTTAAAAAGAGGGATTTCCATTACAAAAAACACTTCGACCTTGAAATGACCTTCAAAATGAGGTTAAAGGTCAAAGGTTTTTGGTGCATTGGGTGGCCCACTCTGTTCTGAACAAATTTTGTAGAGGTTATTTTTCGATATTTTAAAAATTAAAAAAACGCTTTTAGGCAGTTTTTCAAGCATTTGACCTTAAATCGACCTTCTCAAGGCCATGAAAAAAAAATTTAAAAATACCGTTTTGGACGTAAAATTTCCCGCTCTTTCCGAATCCGGGGTCAAAAATAGGGGTTCCTATTTAAAAAAACAAAGTTGACCTTGAAATGACCTTGAACATGACCTCCAAGGTCAAAGCCAAGGTCGTACGGATATGTCCCCTTCGAAGCCCAGCAACTTTTGTCTGAAGCAGTTTTTGATTAATCCATTATTTTGGATTCTAGAGGGGGTGTACGGGTGGTCTGGAACACCCTGTATAACAAAGTCTATATTTCATGATCAGCTTTCTCATAAAATATTATTATAACACTTAACATTTTTACTTCCTTTCTACTTTACTCCATGAAAATTGAGTCTTATATTATAAAAGTTTTTGTTAAAGAGATTTTTGGAATATTTGGGTAATTACGATTATTAATTATTGTTTCAATTACTTGTTTAAAACTTTTACATAATTCCTTCTCAGCCGATAAAGTCGATCTTGCAGTACCCATCCCATATAACACAGTGGCGGTAATCTGCCGTCAGAATGCTCGGGCATGTGACATCACGGTGCATCCGCATTTTGATGTCAGAATGGAAGCACGCCATGTTTTTCCACGGCGGGTCGACATTGTGCCTGCATTGTGCCGATACGAAAGAAACGATTGTTTTCCACAGTGTACGGGAACTATACCAGCATTGTATCTTCCGATCAAATCGCACGCTGTGCTCCCATTATGCAGTCAGAATGACTTCATTTTTATTTTTTATTTTAGAGGTTATAGGTTCAATGAATAATAAAATTATTGTTTTAAGGAAAATTTATTAATAAACAATCTATATTATATACATAAATTATACTGTGACGGTAAACGACTTGTTTGCGCTATCGTCTCAATCCCGTAACTGCCTACGAGGGCAGCACCTACCGGCCGGAAAAACGAAAAATGTGAACTCGGTACAAGACGGGACGGAACGCGCGCGAAGTTTAAAGAATCAGTCGAAGATTAGCAATCCAAGCATCCAGCTGCATACCAGAGCAAGAGTCGAACACGAGCTTTCAAAGAGTGCGGAAGTGATTCAGCTGACAGTTTTTTATCGAAACTTATACCTTTGTCGCTCCTGTTTGGAAAGTGTGTGTGGGTGTGAAGTTTCGCCATCGTAGGCGATCCCGAGGGCGCGGATTCCCTCTTACGAATAACCTGAGATATTGAAAGCGGTAATACGGACCTGCCCCCCCCCCTAATAGTGCGACCGTGTATTAAGTTAATCTGGCCAGTTTAACACCGCGATTTCTAATGTACGACTGCGCTTAATTGCTATTCCTTCGTACCGGCGATTGTGTAAAAAAAAATCGGTAGCGTGCACGTAAACTAACTTTGCGAACAAAGAACTGCGGACGATCTAGCGATGCATGTTATTGTCGCGCGCGCCGAATAAACATAAACACGCGGGCCAAGCGTCTTGTAGAGTTAACGGAAAATAAACCAACTCATGTTGGATCGAAACGATAATTTTACTGTTGTCATTGTTATTAGTAGTAAGTTGGTTGACTTACTCCTGTCCCCTCCTGCTCTCCGGCTAATAAACGCGAATATTACAATTTCATCGCGCACATTCCGGTACGATTGCGTGTCGAGAGAAATAACGAAATAAAAACGGATTAACTACCCCGTTACAATACATGAAATTACTAATAAAAATGACATTCATATTAATTAAATAATTACATGCGTGTCTTCTTCGATCCATTTTCTTCGCAGAATTAGAAAATTTTGATGCCAATCCTGAAATATAATTTAGAAACTTATTAATTTATTAGGAATGACAGCAATATATACTAAAATGAATAAATAAAAAAATACCTTTGATAACTGCCGTATTATGTTTCAAGGAAGAGGATGGGTCTTCCCAATTCTCTTCCTTAAAACATTCTTTGTCTCACATGGGCCTTAAGGTTTGACACAATTAGATAGGAGTTTTTTGGTAACCTGTAAACAAAATAATACCACAATATTTGTTTTACAACTTTTAATATTCATTTTTATTATTGTTGTCGAAGGCCCCGACCTTGCCTTGATGTGTGAGGCATAACCACTTTAATTGACCCTCCAAATTTTTCTTGAAGTCTTAAATTATAAATAAATTAAAATATTGAATAGAACTCTAAAAATAATTGCTGAAAATAAAGACATTAATGGAAGAAACCTAAACTCTACAATGCAAAAGAAGAAAATGAATTTAAATTTCTTTTTGTTTTTTATTTGTATTTTTTGCGATTCTTTAGTTAATTACTAAAATGTAATTGTACTAAATAAATAAATGAATAAATAAATAATTATATAATAAAATTGATGAAACTATAGAATAAAAAATTAAAAAGAAAGACATCACCCGAAAATGCTGTAACGTCGAGAACAGGTCAGACCATATAATAGCGGCAAAATTTGAATTTTTATGGAAGGGGAATTCCCTTAATTAGAGTAATGCTTAATTAATATCTGACCTTGTTCTCGGTGATGTGCTTTGTCCTTCTGGGTTTAACCCTTTATAGCCTACTTTTTATGTGTTTTGTCTTATAAAAGAGATTGCAAAGCGATCGTCACGGCAACTCTGTATTGTACTTTGAAAGACTCTGGAAATTCTGTATCACTTATTTTGAGTAATAAATACTTAAATTAAATTTCTACGAATCGTTTATTATAAATTAGAAAAGTCTTACACCTACTCTATATAGCTACGATACATCCCTCTTTTACCGTACGAGTTGCAGGACGTAATATTATTTAACTGTTACTTTTCTGATCGTTGCTTTAGTTAAATTGCCAGCCTGCTCTAGTTTAGTCTCGTACCCGTGGTATCCGTTTTATTATAATAATTAACATTTACAACGTAATAAACAAATTAAATTTGTACATTAAAATTCAATATGATTCAGTAGTTAAAAGTAATTAAAAATATTATAATCTTAATCTATGCCCTAGAATCTATATAAAAAATACTTTGTTACATTTAAATTACTTTTAATTAACGCGTTTTATTGATTAACAAAAACTATTATATCTATATCTGTGTAGAGTGACGTCACGCTCTTTATATGGTAATGATGCGAAATTTGACTCTAGTACTAATACAATCATATAATATATGAGGTAGCGCCATTTAATATACTAATTGATATAAGAAGATTCACGAGCTTAGGGGATTACAGTAATACAGTGAAAATAAGAGAACAGCTCACAAATAGGACCGTTACATAAGAGTAAAATGTATTTTTATATTTTTTGATTATAATCTATTTTATTTTCCTTCGAAATATTACTAATCTCATATACAACAATGGTTAAGGAAAATCCCTCAAAGGATTGAGGAATTGAGGGAGGATAAGGATTGAGGGATTTTCCTTAACCATTGTTGTATATGAGATTAGTATATTTCTTGATGTTGTGTTCTATCCCTCCATATGTCAGATCCTAATTAAATTATTAATTTTTATAATACATTGTTTCAAATATTAGATCTCATTAATATTTTCTATTAAAATCGGTAGAAGAATCATAAATTTGTAGAATTATTTTTTGTTTCTTTTTTAGATTTTCTGTGGAATTTTAAACTTTTGAGTTAATTGTAAGTATATACTCTGTAAGATATATTCTGCTATGGGTAATACAATCGTTCATTCTTTTTACTAAAAAGATAAAAAAATAAAGGATAAAATATAAATCAAACAACTTTTTCTCGAAATTCGTTTTTTTATTGTTAGGGTACAAACGTTAGTCAGTATCTACAAAAGTAGGTGATTTTAACTTCAGTCGTAGCGTCAAAGATTCGATCTAAAAAACTATTAGTTAAAACATTAACCAGTTAACATTGACCGAGGCCGGTATGTACCCGGTACGCGTTTTTGGGTACGTAGGTACTAATGGTGGAACCAGCCGGCAACGTGGTCGGTACGTACCTGCTTGGATGCCAATGTCCACTTTCGTGGCAAAAGTGTCGTTCTTGGTACGTACCGAGAAGATGGCCCAGGAGGTGGCGGTCACGTGGCCGGATCGAGACTTTGGGTACGTACCAGAAACGTGGCTGATATGTTTCTGAAGAGAAAGCAAAATATTTACAGCTGCTCAGGTTCACCGACTAGGAACGTTGCCGGCACGTACCGAGAAAATAAATTATAAACGTCGCGGCAACGTGTACGGTACGTTACAGGTTTGAACACATTTTGGGCCCCCGAATCCCATCACGATTTTCGGTACGTACCCGGCACATACCGTGGTAGCAATCCTTAGCAGGAACGTTCCCGCGATGTATGTGAGACGATTCTGGTACGTAGCTGGTACGTCGCGGCTACGTACCCACCTAATTATTGAAAAATCAACAAGTTCGTACATTTATTTAACTGATCAATCCGTGTAATGAGTACATTTGGTTGGAAATTGTGAGTCAACTTTATTAATATAATAATAAATGACATACGGAGAATACATATGTTAATTTTCCAAAACAAACTTTGATGAACAGTCAAATCTTCGCAATGACAAAGACAAACTCGCATTTCACAACTCTCAATTCTATTATCGCAAATAATCGCAAAGACAGCAAAGCAACATGTCAATCAAATAAATTTTTATATTATAATGAAACAATCAAATTACGGTATTGCGAGATAATGGCAAAATTATTCATCCATTTAGTCATTCACATTCAGAGCAGATCTCCATTTAGGAGTAACGCTTACAAACTCGAAAATACATTGCTACTCGTACTATTCAACAAAATAACAATTTTTTTAGGGTTACTTATCGCTTCAAAGATCAAAGGTACTCAATAATATCGCTACTGAAAGCAACTCAATTCAAGTGAAAAAGCACTTTCTTTTTTCTCTCTCTTTTTGCACTTATTAAAAATCAAATTTTTAACGCCATTTTTTCCTTTCCAAAAATTGTACGATCGATAAAGCGATGTTATATTCGAATAAAATAATGATCTGAGAACAAAAACTACGAAAAAGTACGATACGCGCATTATAGTTCATTGCGATATGATACGAAAATACCCAATAATTTTCCAACGGTCTGATGTTCGAGGGTGACGCGCAAAGATACAAAAGTACAGCACTTTTCGGAGTATCGGTCTCACTTTTAACATCTCTTAATAGTACTTATCGCCTCCAAACGCGTTACAACGTGAACAAATATTATTGTCACAATTCAAAATATATTTCATGTTACAATTTAACAAATTACATTTTTTATTTAAAATTTTTCTTGAATAATTTAAAATTCAAACAAAATAACAATGTATAAGAAAATATCTTGCCCATCATGTACACAAACTTTTTTTATCATTATCTGATCATCTAGTAATTCGCCATAACGCCATAACGCCTCGAACAGGCGTTATGGCGTTAAAATTCGTTTCCAGTTAAACTAGATAACTATTCATTGAAGAGTTCTACTCAAATAAAATTAAAACCTTAGAATAAAAACTAGTTGGAAAAAATGTGAAACGACTGAGATAAACTAAACCGTATTTAGTCATTTTACTATACAGACAGAAAAGAGATATTACGCACGAGATTAAGCAATAACTAATGGTGCAAATTACATCAGTCAAAGTAACGCTTTTGTCGTTTTATCTTTGGCTTAACCCATTAACGCCTGAATTGCAGTTCTTCAGTAGTCCATGTTTGAGGTAGTGCCAATCAACGTAAAAATGATAAAATTGTCTGAAAATTCATACTCGACTATTTTCGGGTATGCTCTTTCGATTGGCGTGGTTAAAAATTTAAAAAAATTTAAAAAACCATTAAATTTTGCAATTTAAATAAAAAAAAGCACGATTTTTACAATACATTTTTTTTTCAAACTCGATTTTCACCTGGAACCACCTGTTCATTTCACGCAGAACCTTTCAAAATCGTGCAATAATACCTCGAACTTAAAAGTTAGATTATATATGATAATAAATTTTGGCATAAAAAATTCAAAATGGCGCCCAAAATGGGTCAATGTCAGGGTACATTTTCATTATTTTTTTTTTCACGAACGGTCAATTTTAGAAAAAAATTGTATGGAATAAAAAGTGTTTAGAATCACTCAAAAAATACGCCTGAATTTTTTCAAAATAGTTTAAAGACTTTTTTAATTTTTTTAAAAAGTTGTTAAATTCAAAAATGCAAAAACTTCTCAAAAAATTCTGAAAAAATTCACACTTACTCTTTGAATGATTTTAAACAACTTTTTTTCTATAAAATTTTTTCCTAAAACTGATCATTGTTGACTAAAATGGGTTAAATAGAAAAAATTATTCGTGCACTACATGGCCGAAAATCTGCATATACACACAGGCATATATATACAAGTCTGGGTGTAATATTTGTAAGTATATAATCCAGAGATCAAGATCGCCCTTTGCCATTGTCTTTATCAACAATGTTGCCCGATTCTCACCACTTGGAGGTGGACGATTTCCGAGAATCTTCTTCTTTTTTTTTTTTTTTTATTTATTTTTTTTTAATTTTTTTTACGTTTTTTTATAATTTTTTTAAAAGGTTTACGTTTTTTAAACTTTAAAAAGTTATTTTAAATGACTATCAGTGGATTGTATCAAAACATATTTTGCAAAAATACAATTCACAATTTTCACAAATCCTGTTAGTTCGCTTTTCACATTTTTCTCCCGAACAATATCTAAACTTTTGTACAATCTCTGACTTATGTCCTTTGAAATCCTTCTTCGCCATGTAATGTTTAGCTAATGAAAGTGCAAAGCTTTTTGTAGAGTGTTTTTTATCTTCTGAATCGGTCAAGTCTCTCAAAACTACAGAATTGGTGATGCTTGATTGAATCATTCTCATGAGTATAATCCAAGTCCATTTTTTCGAACGCACAATAGGCACAACCTTATTACATCGCTGGTCATGAATATCAACTCCGCCCATAAATTTGTTATACACCGAAAATGCATGGGGGAATGATATGTCAGATTTCTGCTTTTGTTCCTTGTCAAAACGTTTTACTATAGAAAGAGGAGTAACACCTGCGGCAGTTGACAAAATAGAAACTGGCTTAGAATCTACAACAGTTATAAAGTTGATACCACTTTCTGTATCATGTTTGACTGCATATGTACCTCTATTATCTTTTTTGTCAACGTTGTTTTTTACATTGATACGATTTTCTCGAACCGTGCCTGTTGCTTGTATTCCAATTTTGTGTAGATGTACTAATAAATCAGGGCAGCAAAATAAATTATCGAAATAAACGTGGTACTTACTCAGCTTTTTAATTGATATATTTTCCAAAACATTTTGCAACATTTGCATGACAACACGGCTGCCTAATGCACATTTTGGTAAAAAATCATTATTTTCAGAGTTTTTTCCGCAGTATATGTCACAGTCAAACACATACCCGTTTGCACTACATAAAGCCCATAGTTTGATACCAAATCTAATGGGCTTTGATTTGATGAATTGCTTCAACACAGTTTTTCCAAAAAATTTTAGCATCATTTCGTCGATCGAAAGAGCCGTTGCAAAAACTCCAAAAATAAGAAGATTTTTCCTAAAAATGTTGAAAACAGATCGAACACGCCAGACTCTATCGTTAGAATCTTCGTCTTCTGGTTTGGACAACTTGAGCTTTGACTTTATCTCCTCAAATTCATCGCGACTCATAACATTAGGTACTAAAGCACATCCAAGAAAAGGATCTTTTGACCAATAATCTCTTTGGGATAAACGTTTGTTGAACATGGTAAATATTAATATACCTAAAAATGCATTCAATTTTTCCGGAGTCAGATCATATCCATTTATTTTAGTAGCTTCGATTATATATTGTTTGATATCTGTAGAAAAGAACAATTCGAATAGTTTGGAGTCAGAGCATTGGGAAATGAAGTTTTTATCTTTTTCTGACAGTAATATTTCATTTTCAGATTAGAATGATATTTCTTTTCTCCGTCAACCCAAACAAATTGATGGTCATCTTCAAGTTTTTTCTGGGAAGGTTCATATCCTTGGAGAACTTTTCTATAAGATGAACTTGGAAAAAACTCTTCGACTTCATTTTCAGAATCATCAAAATCTTCATTTTCGTAACGTGAATCATCACCATCAGATTCGCCAGAACTATCTGGATTTGGAATAAAAACAGCTTCATCATAATTTTCTTCTTCATCTAATTCTATCGAACTAGACGATACCTTGTATTTCTTTTTATGACGATTTTTTGAAACAGTAGCAGAAGCCGATGTTTCATTTTTTCTCTTTGGCATTTTTACAATATGTTTCAGAAACAAAGCAGTAGAAATATTTAAAATATTGAAAACAAATAAAGTAAAAATAATTACTATGATATGTTAGAATTATCACGTATAATTATAGAGCACATGAAAAATAATAAAAGAAACTATCTTTGAAATAATTGCGACATTTTCGGTTCAGAAAAAAATCATTAGCAATATTTTAAATCTTCAAAATAAATAAAGTAAAATTAATCCCTATAATATGTGAGAATCAAGAATATGGTAATCACACATAATTATACTGATTATTATGATAAGTAATCGAATAAAAATAACTAACTTTGATATACTTGCTACATTTTATAAAAAATATATAAAACAGATTTAAAATAAAAAGAAAAGAAAAAGTAAGGAAAGTAAACTAAATAAAGAATGTTAAAAAAATTTGCTTTGTGGACAGAAATGTAATTTCGTTCAACAAGTAAATAATTTTTTCTATTTAACCCATTTTAGTCAACAATGATCAGTTTTAGGAAAAAATTTTATAGAAGAAAAGTTGCTTAAAATCGTTCAAAGAGTAAGTGTGAATTTTTTCAGAATTTTTTGAGAAGTTTTTGGATTTTTGAATTTAACAATTTTTAAAAAAAATTAAAAAGTCTTTAAACTATTTTGAAAAAATTCAGGCGTGTATTTTTTGAGTGATTCTAAACACTTTTTATTCTATACAATTTTTTTCTAAAATTGACCGTTCGTGAAAAAAAAAATAATGAAAATGTACCCTGACATTGACCCATTTTGGGCGCCATTTTGAATTTTTTATGCCAAAATTTATTATCATAAGTCCATAACTTTTAAGTTCGAGGTATTATTGCACGATTTTGAAAGGTTCTGCGTGAAATGAACAGGTGGTTCCAGGTGAAAATCGAGTTTGAAAAAAAATGTATTGTAAAAATCGTGCTTTTTTTATTTAAATTGCAAAATTTAATGGTTTTTTTAAATTTTTTTAAATTTTTAACCACGCCAATCGAAAGAGCATACCCGAAAATAGTCGAGTATGAATTTTCAGACATTTTTATCATTTTTACGTTGATTGGCACTACCTCAAACATGGACTACTGAAGAACTGCAATTCAGGCGTTAAAGGGTTAATTGGCATAACAACTGATAAATTGACCGAATTATAAGACTATTAATATTTTTAAAATTATACGGAGCAATGAGAACAAGTGAACTTTCTCCGTAAATTCTTGAGTGTATGATTTTTTTGTCCGTCTTTGAGCTAATTTTCACCATCTCCCATCGCCAATAAATTCGTCAGAGTTTTTTTATGTCTGTATCCAAGAAATAAATAAAAATGAATCGCGAAAGTCGCGACTTTTTCCAAGATTTTCAAAGTCACAAAAAGTCCGAGTCTGCAGCCATGTTTAGCTAGTCGCAGCAGGGTTGCCCAGCGGGGTGCCGGCAATCATATACAAATTTTTATGAGTCATACCAAGTTTCATTTTTTATTTGGTATCCCGATCCCTGTTTTGATTTTTTTGTTTAACACAATTGATTTTCGTGCTACATGATAACTTGCTGAGATAGTTTTCATCGTTTTTGAAAATTTTTAGTTTGAAAATTTTACGACCTTTTATAGTACTTATTTTGATTTTTATGTGCTATTAGTGGTATTCTCTATTGATCAAATCTAAAATCACAGTTGCAAAAGCCCTAAAACACCATACTATAATGGTACAAGGTATTTGGAAAAAATTTACAAAAATGCATGGACCCGTATTGAGTCATGTAGCACTGGAAGAAGTCAACCTCCCCCAGGTGCTACGTGACTCAATATGAGTCATACATACTTATGGTTACAGTAAGTTACAGTATGTCTTCCCGAACATATAACATCAACCTTTAGTTATATTTACGTGAGAAATAAAAAATTATACGCTTAGCACCTTGGGAAGGAATCGCTTGTATCGCTCTAGCAGTCAGCGTGTTAATATACCACGAACATGAGCAGCTCGCTGCGACAAACTCTCGAAGTAGCCGACCTGGGCTTGAAATATATCGAGACTTCAAAAATCACATAGAAAAAAAATGGTTCAAACGTAGTTTTAGCTTCTGCTCTGAGAATCCTTCGATGTGCTGTTTTGATCCATTCTGCAGCCGTTTTTTTAGCATCAGTCATCGCGTATGTACTCCTAAATTTATCTACAGCAGCATCTGTAAGAATTAAAAATATATATTGATTGAATCAGAATGATATTGATTTAATTAAAACATTTATAATCATATTAACCTCTCAATACAGGCCATAAGTGCAATGTAGCAAACGCTTTTCCTTGTACCTTCCAAACTGAACTTATTCTCTAGTGGATCAGTTATTGACGCAGATATCATTTTCTGCATGAGGTCATACCCACTTACGTTGTAAAAGGTCTTCCTGTGTGCTTTCTAAATATCATGAATAAAGAATAAATAAAATATTTAAAGTAATAACACAGCACGTGTTGAATTATTGCATAATAATACATAAAAAACTTAAGTATTTACGAAGGCTTTTTTGTAGTCTTCATCTTCTACTAATTTTTTTTCCACTCTATCTAAATCGGCTGCTGTTTCGCACGGTATGTCCCTGTGGACTTCTTCAAATTTCCTATCTTCGGCTGTCTCTCCGATAAATTGACCGACTGGTTGATTCTGTATAGCAGCCAGGATTTTGTTTTATTTTGTTTCCATGTGTTGAATGTTATCTAAAATAATTTGAAGATAATCAATAAAATTCAAAATATCAAATAACATTCAACCCAATATTATTTTTTCAATACTTACTATGAATAACCTTCATCATATCGCATAATATCATATATCCACTGGAGACATCACTCAAGATTAATGACGCATGCAGCTAAAAATGACTAAATTTTTGTTTTTATTATTACGCGTAATTTACTAGGGTGAATGTACCAATGCCCGACACCCCCCCCCCCCTCCCCCCAATAACCGACACCTTTTATATAAGTTAATATAAGAGATTAGGACAAAGTATAAACAAAATAATTAGTTTGACATTAATCTATATAACCTATTTGATGGATTATAACTTATTTTATCACATAAAAATATCAAATATATTTATTTGACAAGACTGAAAAAGGTGTCGGATAGTGGAATACTTGATTTTTTCTTAATACTAATTACTGACACAAAAACGAACATGAATATGGGAAGTTTTCCTTGTTTCTTTCACTTATGTAACCTTTTTATATTGTGCTGCAGTACATATTGAACAACTTGGTATTATATTTATGTCTTATTGTAACTACACAAATTATATACAGCACAAAATGCCGGTAATTGTCACATTGACTCCTTAAGGTGTCGGTAATTGGGACACTTATCTTACGATATTTTACGTTGTTAAATTAATTACCTGTGTAATCAATCTTTTCCAAAATTTTCATTTTCTTCCAAGCGTTCCTCGGTTTTACTCTATTAATCATATACTTTACGCGCACATTTGATTCAACTGGAGACCAGTAAACATACTCCAACTCCAAATCTGACCAGATGTAAGGTATCACGACTTTTCCGATTGATTCCAAATCGACAACAACATAGACATTTTGATCTGAAAAAAAATTAAAAACTTTAAGCTTTTGAAAAAAAATTATATTTGTTAGGTTAAATATTATGTAATTAAATTTGTTGACGTTAATTTTTTTAATAATTCATTGATTAGAAAACATGTTATGGCAAAGTAGCTTATTTGCTCAAATAAATTGCTATGGCTATGAATTGTAATCTTACGATTAATGTAAAGAAATATTTTAGTTTTTCATTTAAAATCTATCAAATATAAACATACTTTCTTCAGCATATCCTAGACATTCATCGATTACCCACTCGCAATTTTCTGAGCCAGAAGTATTTGCAATAACTTTTTGCAAAGTATCTTGAGCTATTGCGTCTTCTTGCTTCTGCTTTTCATTTTCAGTTTCACTAAACTTTTCCAATTTGCCGCTAGCACCAAACAATGGAACTTTATCGAGTAACTCTGCTAAAAATAAAAATAATTTAGAATTAACGCAAAATTTGAAATATTATTTTTTCTCAAATTTTCTTTAACAAGACGAGGACAAATCTGTTATTGTTCAACTTACGACTTTCTTTTTTCTTTATGCTTTCCAAGTCGCATGATTCCTTGTTGAGGAAATGAGGGGGGTCAATAAGTCTTTACAAAATCCAAGAAATGGCGCTCGTCACGCTTAAATTATAATGTTTTTGGCAAGCAATACTACTAACTGTATATCGTACAGTTTCAGCCCGATTCATCGAATCGTTTTTTTGTGAGTGTTGCTTGAACAAAGAGTTATTGGTTTATTTGAAAAATGAAAAAAACAGAGTTTCGAGCGGTGATAAAACATTTTCATTTGAAAGGCCTTACACCAAAAGAAATCACAGTTGAGTTAAATGCCGTTCATGGCAAGTCTGCCCCTGTGTTTGAGACTGTTTATAACTGGGTAAATGAATTTAAACGCGGCCGTACTACAACAATAGATGAACCTCGTTCAGGACGCATCGTAGAAGTGAGTACGCCCGAAATGGTAAAAAAATCCACGATATGGTGTTGAGTGATTGAAGCTTAAAATTGCGAGAATTAGTTGAGGCCACAGAGGTATCAAAAGGGTACAATCATTTAAATTCTGCATGAAAAATTGAGGATGAAAAAAATATCAGAAAGATGGGTGCCGCGTTTGCTCACTGTTGAAAACAAACGAACCCGCGTGGTCAACTCTGAGGCTCTTTCGGCACGCATACGTCGTAATTCGGAAGATTTTTGGCGTCGACTCATAACTGTAGACAAAACATGGGTACACCACTACACTCCTGAAACCAAAAAACAGTCCAAATAATGGATTACCGCAGGAGAACCAGCCCCAAAGAAGGCAAAGACAGTAAAGTCAGTTGGCAAGATTATGGCCACGGTTTTCTGGGATGCGTATGGAATCATCTACATCGACTACTTGGACAAGGGC